TCTTCTTTCCATTTTCTCCTGTTATTCCAGACAAAAGACATTCCATGCTACTTTGTCCTGTAAACTTGATTTATGGCCACGTCTTGTGACAGTTAACTGATAATTGAGCATGCAGGACGCAAGCGAGTCAAGCCAGTTTATGTAGTCTGGCCATCGTCGAAGTAAGAAAACGAACTACGAAAATCATCAAAATATGAACGGACTGGTTTGCCATTAAATACTGTCTTTCTGGATCTGCTCTCCAAGACTATCGCCAGTTAAGCCTCTCGCGAAAGAAGGTTTAAGATTTGGAACCTAAAGTAATACGGTCGGTATGATGATAAGTAGATTCATAATGTTTGAGGAAAATTTAACTGCTTTTACAGCAGGATAACGAATTCATATGTTGAAGTATGGATATACTGCCATATCTCACAGTTTTGCCATACACTGCTGCATAGCGTTGTGAAATAATAATAAATTTTTACTGTTTTTTGAAAATTTAAGTCCCGGACAAACTCGTTATTAGGTATATAACTGTATAATTTGATAAATTGCTTTATTAATTGTTTATTTTTTGTTTATGGCCGTCCATTTTAAACTTTCAGATATTTATGCAATGTGACTAATTTCAATCGACATATGAACAACAGAATCAACACGTTTAATCTTAGGATGCGCCAGTGTGATGAGAGGTACTCTTATGCTGGAGGCAGCGCTAAAGAGAGTAATCAGCTAGCAGAATGCAATTTCGAATCTATGCCAAAAAGTATGGACATTTGGTGGTGGATTGGAACCATTAAAGAGGTCTCCTGAAGCAGCTATCGAAAAGAATTTGCAAACTTTGAAGGTGGATAGATAAATCAGTATAATAATCGACAACATACTAAGTACAAGCTTCTATTTGTGATATACACGGTTTGTATCTTTTACATTTTGATTTACACCAATATTGTCTTAGTGAATGACAATGCCACCCATTATACAGGGTTGCATGACAATTTTGCACGGATTGATACTTGTTCTAAATGCCGAAGGAGACCAATTAAGTAAGTCCAATTACAACTGTGCACCTGCAGTGCATAACTTCTAAATTCTGTATCGAATTCTGCATGGTTTCTGAGAAAAACCTGTAAAAGTTGACTTTGCTCACAACCAGTTCTCTCTTTGCCTTGCACGACCTGAAAGTGCATTTGAGAAGGCATTTTGTTTCAGTTCTTAT